TCCTTCTTCTTGAATTAGCCGATGGCGTACTCGTCGGCGTAGGTGAGGAAGTTGAGGACGTGGTGCTTGATGTGATACTCCTTAAGGTGGTTCATCAGGTGGGTGCCGTACCCCTGCAAACGACCACATCGTAGTATGCGATGTGTCGATGTCGAGGGGACTGGAAGCAGGTGGTTCATCAGGTGGGTGCCGTATCCCTGCAAAACGACCACATCATAGTATGCGATGTGTCGATGTCGAGGGGACTGGAAGTCGATGCAAGCAAGCCATCCCACCTTGACCTGCTCGCGATTCCGCCGATGACACGGCCGTCCTTAATGAGCGACAGCGTCTTGTGCTTCCTGTTCCAACAAAGCAAAACAAAATGAACCGCAAACGGTGCGATGGCGGCGGCGGCGGCATTACCACGGCCGGGCTCCAACTCACGGGTCAAAGACGAGACGTGTGATGTACTCCTTGGGCATGCGAGGCAGCTGGTGCGAGAAGACGTTCTGCAGGCCCACCAGCCACATGAGGATCCTCTTGTTGGGCTTCTGGTTCAAGGAGTTGCCGATGACGTGGAACTCGATCACGCCTCGGCGCTCCTCCAGGCGGGCCGCCTCGTCGCGCGCCGAGTGGGCCGACAGCAGGCTGGTCTGATGACCGTAGACCAAACAAAAAAAATGACTGAACACCAAGAAATGTTTGCTTCGCTTTGCTATAGATGGAGTTCAGGATCCTAGTTGTGAGAGCGCCCCCTTGTGCTCACCTCCGGAACAGTGGCGGGGTCTGCGATGGTGGCCATCACCTCATTGATGAGCTCCATGGGGATGTCGCCCACCACCCTGGGCCTCTTGTTCTCCTCTTGGGGGAGGGGCTCCGTGGGCTTGCGCTTCTCGCCCGCTGCTTCAAAAACATCCAAAGTGGCAACACGGCGGGCAAGGAGTTCAGAGGACTCATTTGAATACCGTACCCGGACTTGGCTCGAGAACTGTTGATGTTTTCCTGGCCGGACTGACAGCTCCGCTAGAGAGGTCCGCAGATGATGCCGGGCTGATGGTGTAGTACAAGGGCCTGGCCACCAGGGGCGCACTGATAACTAAAGACAGTTGGATTACTGGTCAACTTGAATCGGTGCAAAAAATAAAAAAAAGCATCTGGAAAAGTTTGCAGCCCATACGTGTAGTTGTTGACTTACATACAGTAAGTACAGCTACTTGCTACCTTACATACAGGACATACAATTTGTAAGGATGTGTGGCTTACCTGTATGGATGGGAATTTGACCCCCGGAGCCCCCGACCAAGAAGTCTTGGTTCCAAATGGGGGAGCTGTGGCTGTAGACTTCCTCCTCCAGCATGGACAAGAACCTGAGAAGGCAGCGGGCCGGCGTTAACTGAATGAACATTGAGAACCGGACGACGCTTTTGACTTTTGCCGGACTGACTTGGGAAAGTGCGTGAGGATGAGCGTTCTCTTCTCGGGCGGCAGCTTGTCTTTCTCCTGCCTGGCCTGCTCCAGCAGCTGCTTGCGCATGACGGTGAAGACGGAGCGCAGCAACGTGCGGCCGAAGATCCGTGTGGTCTCGTAGCGCGGCAGGCTGTCGCAGAACTGAGGCACGTTGCAGTAGCACAGCCACCTGCCCACCCGCCGCAAAACAAACAACGTGACCGGCGTCCACCGAGTAAACCGGTAAATAGCGCTTTTGCATCAACACTGATTCCTCATTCATCTCCTTATGACGCAGCGTCAAGAGCAACTGGGGGTTCAGTATCTTGCTCAAGAACACTTTGACGTGGTCACAAGTGTCGGGGATCAAACCCAGAACCACCGGGTTGGGAGACGACCACTCTATCACTAGTACCACGAACCCGGCTAGTACCTCATAGTCTGCCCATAGGATTGAGCTCAGTCTTTATAAGTAAATAGTACGTAGCTGGATGTAAGTGTATGTAAATAGATTTATGTATGTAAGTCAGGAAGTAAATGTAACTTATGTCGGCATGACAGTAAGTCGATGTACTGTTTGTATGTAAGTAAGTCGATGTCTGTACGTCAGTTAGTGGACCTATTTCCATATTGAAGTGTAACTAGGTGTATTTAAATAAATGTAAGCAGGTGGATGTATGCAAGTAAATATTTAAGACAGGTGAGTAGATGTAAGTCACGGAAATCGATGTAAGTAAAAAAAAACATAAGTAGGTGGATTTAAATAAGTAAATTCAAGTCGGTGAGTAGGTGTAATTCACGAGAGCAATATGTGAAATCACGAAATAGATACAGTATATAACTGAGTGGGTGGATGTATGTAAAGCGGTTTATGTAAGTATGTATATGCATGTAAGTTATTGACTAGATGGAAATAAATGTAAGCCGACGAGTTGATGTAAGTCAATGTAAGTTGGTAGGTGTGTTCAAGTAAATGGAAATCGGTGTCAGTATATGAAGTGGATGTATTAAAGTCATTAAGAAAATGGAAGTAGGTGTAAGTATATATAAGTAGGTGTATGTCAGTCAGTCGATGCAAGTCACCAAAAATATAAGTATCTGTGGTAGATATGTCAGTAAGTGGAAGAATCGGTGAGTAGCACGTCAATACATCAGATACAAATGTAAGTAGGTCTATGTACTGCATATAAGTCACCAAGTAAATAAATGTAAGTGTATGTAGTGTGTATGCAAGTCAGTAAGTAGACTAGATAAATGTAAGTAGGTGGGTAAATCAGTTACATGTGCAGTATGCATGTCACCAAGTATTGCTGTGTAACATGTATGTAGTCACAACTGCGCTTTCTTCTTTCTAAAGAGTTAACGCTGCATTTGCGAGCATGGCGACCTGGTGTAGTCGGCCTTGTATCCGGCCGTGTCATCGTTGGGGAGTCTCTGCCGCCTCTGCGACGGCGTCTCCAGCTGCCAGTAGTTGATCTGGTTCAGGAACATCTTGGCCAGCTCCAAAATGGTCTGGTGCTCTTTGGACGGCAGGTGGCTGAATTTGTACTGGACAAAGTTGTTGACGCCCTGACGAACGACCACGACGTACGTAAGAAACGTAAGCGGGATGGCGGCCGATTGGCCAGCTCGGGTCATGTGACTACCTGCTCAATGCTGGGTCTCTCGAAGGGCGGGCTCTCCTGTGCTTCTAGTGTGGGTTTGCCCATCTGAAGGATGCATTTCCTCAGCAGCTGTGTGGGGGTCGGGGGGGGGGCAATGGGCACAGTGTTTGTTGCATTTTCCATGAAAAACAGGTGGAATATGGACTTTTCCCTCCCTGTTTTCAGTCTCACGTCTTCCCCGAAATCCCTTGCAATGGCACTTGCGATGGTCCTTACTTTGAAGAGGGAGAAATACACTTGCTTGGTGTCCGCGTCCTCCTCCTTGTGCACACACGTGTACAAGTACTCCACGTCCAGCACCATGCCCAGCAGACGGTTGATCTCGTCCTCGGGGACGCGCTCCAGGTGGCTCACGTGATCCCCTAAAACGAAACAAAAACAAAAACAAAAAAAAATCAAATGATGGATTTGGGCGAAGGCGTGTTAGGCCAACACACCCAAAGCGTGCGAGCAGCTGCGGCAGGGTTGGCGCAGGTTGCCGACGACGGGCTGCTGCTCGCTGCGCGGCGGCGTGGCCGGCGGGTTTTGACTCTTCCAGCCGTTGCACTTGCACGCGCCCTCCGCCTGCCAACCAAAACACAGCAAACGCACAAAAACACATGGAAGACACGCACTATGTGAACATGATTTGTTTTTGAATCAATATGATTTTTAAAAAAAGTGCAAACAACTTTTGTCTTGTCCGATTACGATTCTTTTCCTTGAATAAACACTATTGGCAACAGCTTAGTATGATGCTGTTTTTTTTTTGTTTGTTTGTTTTTTTTGGGGGGGGGTCTGTAATTGTAGCAGTCTTATCAGAACGCGGACGTGCAACATGTTGGCTGTGTCCGAATTCACAGGCTGGGTCCTCCGAAGGCCGCATTTTCGTCATTTCCGGGCGGCGCTGGTGAATTTGGACACAGCCGCGGTGTCCTGTCTGTCAGGTGGGAGGTTCTAGTGCGCATGCTCAGGGATGGAAACAACAACAAACTCCGCCCCCCTCGCCTCGCCAGCAGCTGTCACCCTGTCAAAACAAAGGCCGTGTCTGCAAAAAGCTCCCAATAATCATACTCTGACTCCAAAACGCCATGTTATGTGCAAGGAAAAGCGGAGGCGCTTGAATGCATTCCAGCTACGAAGCCCCCTAACCCATTTTCCCCCCTTTTAGACCCGCCCCACCTCTAAAAGGAAGCCTGCAGTAGGAATGTCCGCGTCGGGAACTCTGGTCTAAACCATTAAAAATCTTTTTTGTGGTTGTTTTTTTTTTCGTGCTGTTAAACAAACGTGCATTAAAACGTGCAGCACAGTTATGGCTTCCATGGATTTGCAGCCAGCACGGTAGATGGTATCGAAGGCAACAAAAAGCATCGACCAGTCGCCTCGGACGATGATAATGATAGTAATAATACAGTACTAATAATAATGATAATACGGAGCCCACCTTGCAGGACGAATATACGCCGAGCTTCTCTAGCTTCTTGTGTCGAGGCGAAGAGCGGAGCTGCGCCTTCTTGACGCTGATGCGCGCGGAGCCTCCGGCGGCGCCAGAGCCCTCAGCCCCTCCGAGGCCCGGGGCGGCCGGAGCCGAGCCCGCGGCACCGATGGCCGGCGAGCCCTGCTGAATCCCCGCGCTGTCGGCCATGGTGCCTCTCGGCGGCGAAGGCCGACCCCGACGGAGGGGGAGCGACCCCCCCTCCCGCCTCGTACGCCCTCTCCTGCCCCCCCGCGGTGCACCAGCAAGAGCACCGCTGGTGGCGGTGGTCTTCCGCCGGAGACCGAGTGCGTCTCTCGCCGCCGTCGGCGCTAGTCCGCCAGCGGAGGATCAGACATGGCGCTCGTCATTCTTTTCCAGGTCGGGAGCGCTACCCCGTTCCGCCCGTGGGGGGCGCCCGCCGCGGCAAAGAGAAGGCCCAATCGCTGGAACCAGACGAGAAGGGACGCCGACGCCAGGCAACCGATCCACCGCTCGCCTCGCTTACTTTGGACAAACGTCTCAAGGTCAAGCTGGCTGATATACAGGACCTCCATTTTACATCAATACTTACTTTAAAAGAGGCAAAAATAGAAATGTATGTTCGTGTGCAGATTTTTTAAAAATATCAATGAAAAAAAGAAATGAAGGATGATGATCAATCTTGGAATTTAATGAGAAAATATAGAGTCGGGAAAATTATTTTCATCCGAATGGAAAAGGTGGAAAGGGTAATAGATTTCCAAAGTGATAGATGCTGGGCCTTCAAAGCCCCTACAGACCATAAACAGCATGGACCTAAAACAACGCATCTAGTGTATTTGTTTGGGATTCCCGGAAGTTGACACCGACAGCACTTCTGCTGACCAGGAAATGCAGACAGCGTAGCGCTTGAAGACGCTGTAGTGTTGTGTAATAATAGCCAGATAGCCATAATTTATGGTATGTGATAATTCATACTTGTAGCGTGAAATTTCCACGGTCGACCGAAGCAGTCGTCATGACAGGTCAGTGCCTAGCGCTAGTGTGCAAAGGGTCGTTGAACTAGTAGTAGAAGAAAAAGGAAAGGTGGTCTTGCTTTGGTGGATATGACGTCAGACCTGCCGGTCAATTGGATACAGGTGTGACGAGGGAATTCATCGAGTGCAGTGCACAGGTGCGGCAAGATGGCGGCCGCGCGCATGGGCTTTTCTCAGCCAAGTGAGCACACGAGCTGACATTTGGCGTTGGATGCTCTTTCTCACGATGACATATTGCTTGTTGCACAATTGGCGCACTTGAGGGACATTTGAGGTTTGAGCACAGCACGTCACAACCGTTGCTTGATTGAGCACATTGTGCCGCCATTTCAACTATTTTTGGTTTATTTGTTTTTATGCTGGTCGGCTCTTTTGTATTTTTTAAAAATTGTTGTAAATGACATACAGTACCTGGTGGCTTTTCTTGGCAGCTCAACTGTAATGGTGATTTGTTTGCTGAACCAATTATTGTTGTTTGCATTTGGTGTTCCAATTTTAAAATCCAAATCAAATAACTTGTTTTTGTTTTTTTTTATATATTTGCTTCCGAACGCACTGTCACAATGATCAAAAGAGGCTTGGGCTTTTTTACTGCAGCGAGAAGAGGGGTAGTCCGTATAACCTAAATTTTCAAATAATTGGGCTACAGTGTGTTCATTAAAGTAAACGTTTTTTTTCTTTGGTGGTGTTGTTTAATATGTTATTGTTTTGGGTGGGAAATAAACATTTTCAAAGGGCCAATACGTGGCCAGCATCGGACCAGCACGCAGCACTGGCAAAGAACTTCTTGTTAAATTTCAAAATTAAAGCAAATACCCCGGACGAAAACCGTATTTTCCAAGGTAATTGAACGAGGATCTTATTCATGTGGTGTAAAATTATACCGAGAGTTGAACGTAGAGCAAATCTTTCATTAATTTCCCTACAAGAATTGCAATTGTCTATTTCCGGTTTCTGCAGAGTCGCACATTTAATCTACCGGCACTGGGACCACGCGGAAGACTGTCTGCTCGTTTAAATTGGCTTCCTGCAGTTGGTGCATCGTCGCTCATTCGCTGGACAGCTAACAGACGAGTAGCAACAGTAGCATCCATTTCGGTGTCAAAACGCCCCAAAACGACTTCATTTGCGTACATTCTTCTCGTCGTCATCATTATGCAGGTGACCTAACGCCAGCCGAGCATGTCCAAGCGACCGGGTACCAACGACGGGCTGCTGACTTCACCGAGCGTTGCCCGTGACTTCGCCGCCACCTTGAACTCCTCCGCCGGCTGCGACGTCAACATGGACGCGGCGGGCTCCGAGGAGCCGGAGCCCGAAGTGGAGAAAATGGACGTGTCCCTGGCCGAAATCCTCTCGCTCTACAGCCAGCCCATCAACGAGGAGCAAGCATGGGCGGTGTGTTACCAGTGCTGCCGAACGCTGGCGGCGGGGCGGCCCCGGCGGAAGGACTCGAAGAGCTCCGGTGGTGCTGGGGACTCCCCGCGGAGGATCGAGGGACCCGGGGATGTGAGAATTAGCCGGGACGGCACCGTCACGCTGCGCTCTGAGCGCCCCTCAGGCAGGTCACCTCTTTAAAAATAAATGGCACAGGTTGCCGTCACCGCGTATTTTAAATATGCTTCAAAATGCGGTATTTTTGTTGGCGAGGAAAATGACACACAAAGCGAAGTTTGTATGATTTGTTGGAGCGGAAGTGTGTGTGGTCGTGGTGGGTTAGTAAACAATGTATCACGTGATGGGGGGGGCTCCCTTTGACAGTCTGCACCAAAAAATCAACTCGCTACGTTCATGCTCGTCATTAGGTACACTTGGAGGTCGTTTTTGCACTTTACTTTTAACACTACACTGCGTTAAACCGAGCGGTTTTATGATATCTTTGAGAAATATGTCATGGGTATTAGTTTACATTTGCAAACGTGCTGAAAAAGCACCTGTGGCCCCGTTAAACATCACAGAAACACGTTTAAGCGTCTTTGGAACTCTTGTTTATTCCACGTTGTCATCAAAATTTGCTAGAGGGAAACACGTTTTCTTTTCTAAATTTAAGCCCCGAAGCCAGTTTTAGTTGGCAACATAAACTTTGGTCTATCATGAGTCGAACCCCTCCAAAAGAAATTCTCAAGTGGTTTTGGCCCAAAAACACACAGCAAGTCCATCAGTTTGGTTTGAATCAGCCGTTTAAGGCCGTAGGTGCTGCATGACCTGTTTTGTTCCTTTTTACAAAACTCAAATGCCACCCATGTCGTGATATAATCATTGCAGAGCCACCCGCTAATGTTTCTTTTGGCTGGAATGTCACCCTGCCACCACGAACATCTTGGCACTAGCTTCACAGAGGAAAAAAAATTACAGCAATCAAATGCAAAGAGCACCCATGAGAGCAATTCGCCCGTTTGTGTGGCCTGCAATGGGGGGGTTTATTTTTGGAACATTTCTGCGTCCTTTGGGGAGGGTGATCAGCCTGACGTGAGCCCACTTAGGATGAATGAAAGCACGGGTGCTTACGCAGCTGGCATACGGCCCTGCACACGAGCAAATGTGGCGACAGGGCCGCTCGCCACACAGCAGTGAAAGATCAACATTTTCAGGAATTCCAAATATGCTTAGTACAGAGTCAGCTTGCCACTCATGAAGCACCACTCATAAAATGCAAATAGCCCCAAAATGTCCACCCTGTCACTGTCCAGTGTCCACCCTGTTGGACTAACTGACACATTTTGATGTTTGCATGATCTAACATCTGCGATTGGCTGGCAACCAGTTCAGGGTGTCCCCCGCCTACTGCCCAAAGATGGCTGGGATAGGCTCCAGCACCCCCCGCGACCCTTGTGAGGATAAGTGTATCAGAAAATGGATGGATGATGTAACACGGCAAATCTCACTTTTTTTTTTTGAATCAAAATGTTAAAAACATAAAAAAAAAAACTCTGCCTTTTGCATTTCATGAAATGGCAGAAAACATTTCCATTTGCGTCACTCGGTTCTCGGCGAGGTGGACTCCTCCAACGAAGCCGCCGCCGCCTCCTTGAGGGCGACACAGAGCTCCTTGTCCCCCCCCCCACCCCCCAATCTCCCGACGAACACGAATGGATGACAATGGATGACTTTATTTTCTCTCCCGTGTCAATTTGCAGTGAGTGACCTCAACTGGCAAGCGCGTTCATCCGCACGGGAACAAAATTCACATGATTGTAATCCAAGGTTGGGATGCGGAAGGAAGCATGGCGGCATACGGGAGGGTGCAAAGTACTCGATGGCTGTGAGGTGGCACAGTGTTAAAGTCTGCAGCGCAATCACTGCTGTACTTTTAGCCCTCTTTCACTTTCTGTCACTCGAGCTTGCTGATATCACTTTCACACGTGCAATCCGGTTGATATTCAGCTTTGCTGGTCTTAGGAATCGACTAACGGTAGCTTTTATTCTCATCGGCACGTCGCAAATGCCCAGAAAAGGCTTCACGAATGCATGAACCAAAGTGAAAGTTATTTAAAAAAATATTTGCACATCAACACATTCCATATTTTTTAGGGAGGTCTTGGTTTTAAGCTTCCGCGTCAACCCGTAGTGGAATATTAAGTATATTGATTTTTGTTTTCTGCACGCCGTTGTTGGGTGTCATGCCGATGAGCTCATTGTCTTCGAATGTTCCACACGCGATGTTTTCTCGTGGCACAATGGTGCATGAATAATACGAATAACAGCGGGTGTGTCTCTGTCTTGTCTTTGCAGATAAATACGGATCAGCGCCGTCGTCGCTGGAGGTGAGTGTTTGGATGAATGTTTTATTTATTGCGTCACTTGTGGTGCCAAGATCTTTCGAAAAAGAATTTCCAAAGAGGACGGTCATTTTGTGAAGTATCAGAATCAGATTTATTGGCCAAGTAGGTAAGAATCACACAAGGAATTTAGTTCCCAGTTACAACCCCGTTCAGGAAATATAGACAAGACAGCAATCACCAATCACGGGGGAGACAGAACCAGAATCCTGGCGGGTCGCTGTTAAGCGGCCCGATATTGTAGATGTGAAAGATAAACAGTCGGGAAGAAAAAGGGAAAAAAAAAACACAATGATAGACTCCAGCCAAGGCCAAGAACTTATCAGTTACAGGTTCGGGGCAGTAAGGAGAGGAAAATACGGATATAGGACTCGCGTGCATGTGTTTTTTTCCATCCAAAGGAAGTCCAGATAACTGTTTTGGGGACATGCCTTCAACAATTTGCGTTGAATCTTTTTTTTAGCATGTGACTTTCCGTGGCGTCAATCCTCCGAATTCTTGATCAATAAGATAAGAAAACCTTTATTTGTCCCGCAATGGAGAAATTTGCAATCTACAGCAGCAAAATTATTGAAGGGTCACTCCATTTTCCAGGAGGGTACTACTCCCGGTCTTTTCCATTTTGCGAAGCGACTCCAATAGCGCATCCACTTTGCGGTTGAGTTCACTTGACGTCTGAGTGTTGATCACCCCGCCCCACACTTTCCACGTTGGCCGCCAGCTTGTTACCTTCCAGTGACGTGGCCCCCGTTTTTAGTCAAACACGAGTGGACGGCTGACACTGATGACATGAGCAATTAAATGTTAAAAAAAAAAAAGAATAAAAAATCGATGTATATTATTTTTTAAAATTATTGATTCTTTGCAAAAACTGTTCCGCCGTTTTGCGAAGCGGCTGTAAAATCCAAACCTCAATGAAGGTGCTGCATGTTTGTCCAGGGGAGCTGCAGTCTCATAATGTTGGGTGGAGACGTCACTGTCACATGCGTGGTGTTAGTGTACACACAGTTAAAGTATGTGTGTGTGTGTGTGTGTGTGTGTGTGTGTGTGTGTGTGTGTGTGTGTGTGTGTGTGTGTCTGAGTGAGAGAGGGACAACTTACCTGTAACCACATTTACAATTTGGGAGTAATCGGATCTGATAAGAACAGGAAGTCTAATCTTTATAAACTGATCTTATATCTTGACTGCTATAATCGTCCGCGTTCCTTGGGGCGCCTTTTTTCTTTCATTTCCCATTCATATTAACTTGTTGAGCAGTATGCGACTCCACAGTCTCTGCTGTGCTGCAGCGGAGCATTTTCTTGCCGCCCCCCCCCCCAGTCTCCTCTTTGATAAGTTTTAATGCAAAATTAGTTTTGGGGTGTTTTCAGAGAGCGTTTGACGACAGCGTGCGTGCGGACACTGCGGCCTGCCGTGCTGAATTTGACCCGCTTCCTCCACCTCGTCAAACTTGATCAGTGAAGGAAAACGGCAGAATGATTTCTTTCAAGTTCAAAGGCTTTTCACATCTCGCCTTAACCCAGTTTGTCCGGAGTTTTTAAGATTCAACCGAGATTAGGCGGTTAGGCTTGGCCGGCCGGTGTTTAGGAGCTGCCTCTTCCAGGTCGCGACCGCTTAAATTGGTGGCGTCGGGCAACGAAATGGAGCCCTTGGCTTTGTGAAACTGATTCAGGGCGAGAGTGGCTGCCGGGCTCAATGGGGCTCGTTCAGTCCATTTCACTTGACGATCGCGAGCTTGTTTTGAGCCCTGCGATACACCAGCGACCTCGTTGCGTCCATTTCATCCCGATCGATCTACTGACTCGTCTTTCACTTTGCACTTGTATCGCCCAAGCCCCCGTCTTGCCTTTCCGCAGCCACAGACGAGCAGTTGGAGTGGGCCCAAACGAGTCGCAGTGTTAAAATAGCATCTTTGGTCTGAACTCATTTGCTGCGGTTGGTGTTTGTTGACTCACAATCTCCCTTCGTCATTTGCGTTGACCTCGGCGAAGGTTTGAATTGGTTTCCATCTTGCGCTTCTGCCCCCCCCCCCAAAAAAGTCAGTCACTCAAATGAAAATTAGAATTTGATCAAAATAAAGTGTTACATGGAGTGCACTTGCATTTTATCTTCATCGTACGTTTACAAAGCATCTGTCATTCAAAACGAATCGACCAAAAACCCACTAAAAGGTTTTCCTTTGTAGTTTAAAATACCCTCCTTTAGTCCCCAGGAAAACCGCTGTCGAATTAACAAATGGAAAGTCCGCTTCAGTATTCAACATGGCACAGTCGTTACATCGTGACATCATCAAAATTGTCGGCAAAATGTGCCATTCCCAACCCGGAATAACGTACTTCAGTTCTCCAGATGCCACCAAGGAAGTTGACACATGTCGGAGCTTTTCAGCTGTCAAGCAGTCTCTCTCTGAGAGGAATTCTGCCCCACATCCTGCTCCGGTATAACGTCTGCAGTGAAAACCTCTGGATTTAGCCCCGCTGGCTTACATAACCGTCGTCGTTGGCTCGGCCGAGCGGCGCAGTGCTGCAACGCTGACGGCGCAATTTTTTATTTTTTATTTTTTGCTGACCTGCTCCAAAGTGACAAGATGTTTTCCCATCAGGGCGGCCCCCGGCCGGGATGCACTTGCAATTGTTTACGTCAAACCGTGCTCTTGTTGAGACATACTAGCGGTATGATTGCCTCCTTGGCGCGCTCATGCATGTTGATGGTGTCGCCGACACACAAACGGGTCATTCTTCTCCCTACCCGTCCGTCTGTTCGTGTGTGACTCACTGATGCTTCCCTCAGCACGTTAGCACGGCTGCTGCGCGAGCGAGTTCCCGCGGAGGAAAACTTGTGGCTTAATGATTTGTTACACCAAGCCGGGTGTCGATCGACCGGCTTTGTCTGGCTGGTTGTTGATGAGTAAAATCATTTGTAGCACCTCGATTTTTTTTTTCTCAGCTAAATATTGAGCTTTTCTGCGATAAATTTGAAGACTAAATAACGTGGCAATCCAGCGCTTTTCTTTTTGTTTTGGTCATCTTCTTAAAATTCTTCCTGAGATGAAAAGCATGTTTTTTAATAATGTGGAATTTTAGAAGGTCTCGCACACTTTCGTTTTGTGAAATTGATGTCTTTTTAAAAAGGACATCGATAAATCTCGGATCTTGCAAGGAAAGATAACTTTCAAAAAATTTTAAGTTTTAAATAAATTGTTTAAAAAAAATTAATGCCACAAGATGTTTTTTTCCCCTATTTTTTATTTTTTTTTGAAGTAGTTTTGAAATTTAAAAAAAAATCAGTTTGGTTATTGTTAGATGTAAATAGTCTTGAATGCTACAAAATATTCGTTTTGATTGATCTTACTAAAAAAAAAAAGTTTAACAGGGATCATTTTGTCACCGGTTTAAAAAAAAAAAACTATGAAAAAGTGTCTGTCGTCAAGATTTTTCAAAACAATTTTCTCACGTGACTGAGTTGATGCGCTAACAACCAAGGACATTATTTTGTGCCAAACAGGTTCTTCTGCACGTCCTAACCGTACAAAGCCAAAATGATGCTTTCTTCGACGGTCATTTTGCGACATGCTGATAGCCAGTAATGTGCTTTTTTTTTGGTGTTTGAGCGCACTTTCATCTTCCCTGGGTGGAGGCCGCTTGGTAATTTTCAGATTACCACAGCAGAACCAGTCCTCCTCTCGTTACCAACAGTGAAGTTGTTTACCGCTTCCTGTTGTTTGTTACCCATTGGGCTGAGTCACTGTTGCTTGAGCACAAACCGGGTAGACCAACTGGTATTTTTTTTTTCCCCCGAAATGAGGCCAATGTCTCAGTGGGTTGTGAGGTTTTGGAACCCAAGCCAAAACATAGCGTGGAACCAGTTTTAAGTTTCCCTGTGCTTGACATGTGACTTGTCATTCTGTGTTGTAATACTCCTTGTGTCTAGTCTGTTGTCCTATGGATTAAAAAATTATATAATACGACACTGAGCAATAGGATATTTATTCCCAGCCCCCGCCCCTCGCCTCCAAAACGGGATTATCGGCTCCACACAGGCGATTCATGAAGTTGGTTTAAAGCCTTGAAACCCAGAGGAGGGCTCGATACCACCGTGGTCCTCAAGGGTTCTATCCTGGCTCAACTGTGATTCATACTGTGGTGCTTCCCCAAAGACGAGACCAAAGCTCACTGTTATGTTGTGGTGTTCCCCACCGATCAGACTTTAGCCCACTCCCGTTTATGCTGTGGTGTTTCTCAAGGTACACTGTTGCCCCGGCATAATTTCTTCTGTGGTGTCGTCACCAAACCAGACCTTACCCTGCTATTATTCAAGGTGTGAAGGTGTGAAGACCTGACTTCATTATTATGAACGTATTCCTCAAAGATCAGGAGTTGGGTCATGATTACTCAGGCTGTGGTGTTGATAAATTGACCGTAGCCGTTTCTAATTGTTCTTTTTTTCAAGGACCTCAGCTTCCTGTTATGCATGCTGTGGTGGTCCTCAGTGACAAGCTTAGCCCGCTATTTGTGATGTGGGGTATCTCAAGGATCAAGACTTGGTCCACTGTTATTACTGGAAGTCAGTTTTCTGTGGAGATGCAGAAAAAGTACAAAGCCGTCCCAATTGGGAAAACCTTTTTTGAAGAAGATTGGCAGTCATGTGGACCCTGAAGTACTGAGTATGAAATCAGTCTTTGAGCTGTGATGGAGGAAAGTGCGCGAGAGTCATTTTCACAGAATGTCAACAATGCAGTGACTTTTTTTAGCCAAGCAAGTCAACGCCCTGTGACTTCGCCAGGTCCTGCTTCCTGGCATTTCCAACCTAAGCATTGGTCTGCCACACCCCTTCATGCCACCCAGCACCTGGCGTCATCTTGGTACGGCACAGCCTGAGTTGTTTGGCTTGTTTAAAAACCTGTTTACCACCGCAACTACATCAACCTTGCCCTTTTCCGATGTATTCAAATTAGAGACAGCCGACCACATCACATTGCGATGTAATGTGCAGATTGAACTGCAAAATATCCATGGGTCAAATGTTTGACTCCGCAATGGGGGTGGGGATTTCATTTCTTTTTCAAGCTCTTAGTAAAATGTCACCTGTTCCAGGAGAACAATTGAAATATGAGACGAAACCGGTTCAAAATGTCACCTGTTGCAGGAGAACAATTGAAATATGAGACGAAACCGGTTCTGCGCATTCTTTGCAAAGTCGCCACCCAAGTGCTCCTTTCCTCAGAAAGATTCCAAAATTACTCCGGAGTCGGCCTTCGTTGTTATTTTGCAGATGAGAGCCCATAGGAAGTTTTCAAAGTTTAAAAAGAGGCTGACAAATGAAAGTGGCACCTTTTAATCAGAAGCCAAGTGAAATGAACCACATTAAATCCTCACACTTGACATTGCGTCAATGTTTTGACAAGGGCACAAGAACAGAAAGACGGGGTTGTAACTGGGGAGCCTGACTTTTGGGAAATTTGGTAGCTTTTGTATTTTTGTTTCAGTTTTGATTCGGTTTATACTGTGATGCTCTTTTCCTGGTCAGATTGTAGTCTGAGGAAGTTTTTAAAGTTTAAAGAGAGGCTGACAAATGAAAGTGGCACCTTGTAATCAGAAGCCAAGTGAAATGAACCACATTAAATCCTCACACTTGACATTGCGTCAATGTTTTGACAAGGGCACGAGAACAGAAAGACGGGGTTGTAACTGGGGATCCTTGTTGACTTTTGGGAAATTTGGAAGCTTTTGTATTTTTGTTTCAGTCTTGATTCGGTTTATACTGTGATGCTCTTTTCCTGGTCAGATTGTAGTCTGGATTTCATGTTATTTTGTACCCTAAGCAGCTAAACCATAACCCCTGTTGTTTATATTGTGGCATTCGTTGAAGGGGGAGGGGTGGTGGTCGGACGACGGACGACATGCACTTAACAGAAATGCATCTGCCGAACGTATTTGTTGACGGTAAAGGAGGTTGGAGCGCCCATTCGGGGTCTCCCGGAATTTCCAATGGCCACTGCGGCCGTGTGCAGTGGTGTTCCTCAAGGACCAGAATTTAGCTGGTTGGAACTTTGGCTCACTTTTATTTAGCCTGTCATCAATGTTCATGAAAGACCACAACTTGAGGTTTCTTAGGGACCTGATCCTAGTCCGTTAATGCTGTGGTGTGTTACAAAGATCACACTGTAGCCCACTACAATGTATACCAACGCCCCCAGCCCCTCGGTCAGACCTTGGTACATTATTAAACATTTTTTGTGTTCCAAAAGGACCACAGCATGACAATAATCTATGTAGCGATGTTCTTTATGGCAAAAACTGTTATTGACATGCTCCTCAAGGACCACAGCTTGACCCATTGCTATTGATGTTGTGGTGTCCCACAAGGATTCCATCTTGGCCTGCTATACTTTGTGCTGTACGTGCTGTCTCAATCCAATTTGGACTCAAGCATTTTTGTGTTGTTGCGGCACCACAGGTAATCGACTCGTTAGGCGTGATGATCTACAAGGCCCTGGACTATGGCCTGAAGGAGAATGAGGAGCGTGAGCTGAGCCCACCGCTGGAGCGCCTCATCGACCTGATGACCAATGTGCAGGGGGCGGAGAGCGATGACGCCTGCCCCGATGAGGGCTACGAGGCTACAGAGGAGGAGGAAGAAGAAGAGGAGCAGCAGCAGCTGTCTGTCTCGACTTCGGGCGGCAGCGTCAGCCAAATACGAAGCTACCGCGACATGATCTCGGTAGGACCGTAATACAGTTACCGCAAGTAAAAACTAGTACACTATGGATCACAATTTGAACCACTAATTTATGTTGCTTATGTTATTTATGGTTTTCTATAAGGAAACATTCCTTGGTTCATGCTGTGGACTTCCGCAATTATCAAACCATAGGCCACTGATGTGGTGTACTCCAAGGATCACTCCCTAGCCTACTGCAGTTTATGCTGCGGTCTTCCTTTTTGGTAGCTTATCTTAACATTCAGTCATAAGTACAATTGATGACTTAAAACTTAGTTCAAAGAGATTTTCTCCCTTGGTCCCATAAGTACCTTGCCGTGAACGCCCCACAGGTCCCACACCCCCACCTACCCTCATTCTTCCGTGCGACAGGTTCCGCTGATGGGGCCTGTCACGCTGTACATTCCTGCCGATCGCAGCCCCGTGAACAAACTTGGTATTTCCAGCGCAATAAGCTGAGGAAATATTCACAGGCTTACTTCCTCATAGTGGACCCTGTGTAGTGTGACACACGTACGCACGCAATGAATGAGTGTGCGCTGTATTCCATTGGCATGACTTGTTTCATCGGCTGATGTCCTTTTTGCAATAACACCGCACTGTCACCGCTTGTGTAATACTTAGCTCTTTTTTGTGGTGTTTGGGGTGTGTAACAAGTGTTCAACAAGAGCTAAAGTGTAGTTTTCTTATATTTTGTTTATCTATGGCAGGCAGACTTAGATTTTTCACCGGTGATTCCTCTTCTGTGATTTAAACTAATTACCCTTGTTGTTTGCAACTGTCACCATGACTGGAAATTTATTTATTTATTTTAGACCTAGATGAAGGTAATATACAATCGCTAAATGCTAATGTTAGCATAAAGATTGTAGCATGGCTAATGTGCTAATGGTAAAATGATCTTTTCTTCTTTGTAGTATTTTAAAGCACTGTTTAAAAAAAAAACTCATGCCTAAATGAGCAAAAGGCTTACTTTATCTTTAAATCTGTGTTCACATTTATTTTTAATAAATGTATTTAGTAAATTTGTTTTTTGTTAATATTGCATCATGTATTTTTGTATTGTAATGAGCATTGTCTCGTTAAAAAGAAATGTTTGTGGCAAGAATTTCACTGAGCTTGGAGCTCTTGTATGCTACATTTGTGCCAAAATTTATTAATTTAAAAATAATTCATTTAATATTTTATATTGCATCAGTTATTGTAATATTTTTGATTTATCAAAAGTAATGTAGCATATAATGGCTGCTTGCTTTGTTGAAAACATTTCTCGTTCATTGTACATTGCGTTACACACCAGTGCTAATCTACCGTGTGAATTGTTTTTGGGCCCCCTTCTCCTCCCCATCCAGGTGTGTTCCTCCCACCTCCCGAGCCCTTCAGACGCCCCGGACCACTACCAAGCCGTGTGCCGCGCCCTCTATGCCGAGTCCAGGGAACTGCACACTTTCCTGGAGAAGATCAAGAGCGCCAAGGAGGTAAAATGCCAAAAGGATGCCAAATGTTGCAACAAATCTTACGTTTTGTAAAATATGGTGAAGTGACCGATAGGGTAACCTTAATGCAACTATTTAAGGAGCTTAGCCGAGGGGCCACGCCAAGTGATGCCGAGTGGCCACAGTGTTTTTACATACCAGCGAATTAGGATGTTACTCAACCAGGCCCTCAGTGTGACTTGTTTTTGTACAGTAGCCACGCTGCCAGCAATTACCACTAATTTGTTTGACTTTTTGGCTATGCCGTTTCTCCATGGCAGAATCTGCGCAAAATGGAAGGCGAAACCCTTCAACAACCTGTTCGAGACTTGGATGAGCTACAAAATGCAGATTGGGTAAGGAGGAAACGCACCGGTATTTCTTAGGGTTCCAGCAAATGTATTCCTAACTGTTAACTTTTTTTTTTTTACCCTCCCCTTTTTCCCCCACCACCCAACATCCGTGACAGGCACGGTTTTGGGTCCAGGTGATGCGAGACCTGCGCCACGGCGTGAAGCTAAAGAAGGTGCAAGAGCGTCAATACAACCCGCTGCCCATCGAGTACCAGCTGACGCCCTATGAGATGCTCATGGACGACATCCGCTCGAAGCGCTACAAGCTTCGCAAAGTCATGGTAAGCAATTGATGCTAGCTTTATAGCCCACGTTGGCCGTTAAACATTTTGGGCTGTTAAACTTCCGTCAAATTGGGTGTCTGTTGACAAAACGGCAGCGTTTCGCAAGCCTAAATATTAGGAGGTGTACAAAAAAAAAAATAGATTCACTCAACTATAGAGATTTTATATGTCAAGATTCAATAAATCGATGTCAAAGTTCGGAATCGATTTTCAGGGTTTTTTTCAAAACTCAAAGGTGAAGCTACCACTTTGCTCCAGCAGATGGCAGCGCGGTGCCAATTTGTTGTGGCGAGTCAGCAGGCTGAAGCGTTCAGCAGTCACACCGTCATCTGAATGAGCCGTGCCTGAGCAAAATTAACAAGAAAATGGCAGATGGCGAAAATGCTGTGGCATTTTCTTGACCACTGATGGCACTGGCCAGGAATGTGTTGTAATATTATACCACTGGCATTTGGCTGAATGTGAATGTCAGAAAGAGTGATCTGGCTGCATTGATTGAAGTACACATTCAACGTAGGTATTGTTTATGGTTTATATTGTTTAGAATTGTTTTAAAGTCTTACGAGAAAACAATGTGTTGTTTGAGAAAAATACCCAAGAACCGTGATGTTGAAACGCAAATCGCAGTATAGTCAATAATCGTGATATAAATACAATCGTCACACAAAGTGTTGTGATTTGGAGCGAATCGGGAAGTAAGTGAATCGTCCCACCCCTACTAAAAATGCTTATTTTTGTCCATTTAGGTCTCATTTGGGGTTGTTCCCTCATGTTCAGACATGGGTTCAATTTTTTTTTTTCAAATCCTCAAAGTCGTCATTAAAATTTGGAATTTGCCCATATTGAAACGCTCTTGGCACATCTAATATTTTCTTTATCGCCACCTATTGGCCCAGTTTGAAAATTGCTGAATTATGTCAATTTTTTAAATGTGCGTCCCCCTCCCACCCAGAAAAGATGTTAATACACTTATTGTATAGTGTGATCAGCCTTACTTTCAATTTTTGTTGAACAATACAGAGAATAGGGACATGTATCAACAGAACACAAATGGATCATTTAAAGTTTTATAAAGAAACTTATAAATGGCGTAACTTTTCTACCTGCCATATTGCTTGACAGCATAAAATCGCCCAAAGACATCCTCTAATATTATAACATTTTTTTAAATGACTTAATATTTAGTTTAGGTTGATTTCTAACAAAGAGACATGGACATATTTTTAACCAAAAAACTATGAAAAAGTGTCTGTCGTCAAGATTTTTCAAAACAATTTTCTCACGTGACTGAGTTGATGCGCTAACAACCAAGGACATTATTTTGTGCCAAACAGGTTCTTCTGCACGTCCTAACCGTACAAAGCCAAAATGATGCTTTCTTCGACGGTCATTTTGCGACATGCTGATAGCCAGTAATGTGCTTTTTTTTTGGTGTTTGAGCGCACTTTCATCTTCCCTGGGTGGAGGCCGCTTGGTAATTTTCAGATTACCACAGCAGAACCAGTCCTCCTCTCGTTACCAACAGTGAAGTTGTTTACCGCTTCCTGTTGTTTGTTACCCATTGGGCTGAGTCACTGTTGCTTGAGCACAAACCGGGTAGACCAACTGGTATTTTTTTTTTTCCCCCGAAATGAGGCCAATGTCTCAGTGGGTTGTGAGGTTTTGGAACCCAAGCCAAAACATAGCGTGGAACCAGTTTTAAGTTTCCCTGTGCTTGACATGTGACTTGTCATTCTGTGTTGTAATACTCCTTGTGTCTAGTCTGTTGTCCTATGGATTAAAAAATTATATAATACGACACTGAGCAATAGGATATTTATTCCCAGCCCCCGCCCCTCGCCTCCAAAACGGGATTATCGGCTCCACACAGGCGATTCATGAAGTTGGTTTAAAGCCTTGAAACCCAGAGGAGGGCTCGATACCACCGTGGTCCTCAAGGGTTCTATCCTGGCTCAACTGTGATTCATACTGTGGTGCTTCCCCAAAGACGAGACCAAAGCTCACTGTTATGTTGTGGTTTTCCCCACCGATCGGACTTTAGCCCACTCCCGTTTATGCTGTGGTGTTTCTCAAGGTACACTGTTGCCCCGGCATAATTTCTTCTGTGGTGTCGTCACCAAACCAGACCATACCCTGCTATTATTCAAGGTGTGAAGGTGTGAAGACCTGACTTCATTATTATGAAGGTATTCCTCAAAGATCAGGAGTTGGGTCATGATTACTCAGGCTGTGGTGTTGATAAATTGACCGTAGCCGTTTCTAATTGTTCTTTTTTTCAAGGACCTCAGCTTCCTGTTATGCATGCTGTGGTGGTCCTCAGTGACAAGCTTAGCCCGCTATTTGTGATGTGGGGTATCTCAAGGATCAAGACTTGGTCCACTGTTATTACTGGAAGTCAGTTTTCTGTGGAGATGCAGAAAAAGTACAAAGCCGTCCCAATTGGGAAAACCTTTTTTTAAGAAGATTGGCAGTCATGTGGACCCTGAAGTACCGAGTATGAAATCAGTCTTTGAGCTGTGAAGGAGGAAAGTGCGCGAGAGTCATTTTCACAGAATGTCAACAATGCAGTGACTTTTTTTAGCCAAGCAAGTCAACGCCCTGTGACTTCGCCAGGTCCTGCTTCCTGGCATTTCCAACCTAAGCATTGGTCTGCCACACCCCTTCATGCCACCCAGCACCTGGCGTCATCTTGGTACGGCACAGCCTGAGTTGTTTGGCTTGTTTAAAAACCTGTTTACCACCGCAACTACATCAACCTTGCCCTTTTCCGATGTATTCAAATTAGAGACAGCCGACCACATCACATTGCGATGTAATGTGCAGATTGAACTGCAAAATATCCATGGGTCAAATGTTTGACTAAAATGTCACCTGTTGCAGGAGAACAATTGAAATATGAGACGAAACCGGTTCTGCGCATTCTTTGCAAAGTCGCCACCCAAGTGCTCCTTTCCTCAGAAAGATTCCAAAATTACTCCGGAGTCGGCCTTCGTTGTTATTTTGCAGATGAGAGCCCAGAGGAAGTTTTTAAAGTTTAAAGAGAGGCTGACAAATGAAAGTGGCACCTTGTAATCAGAAGCCAAGTGAAATGAACCACATTAAATCCTCACACTTGACATTGCGTCAATGTTTTGACAAGGGCACGAGAACAGAAAGACGGGGTTGTAACTGGGGATCCTTGTTGACTTTTGGGAAATTTGGAAGCTTTTGTATTTTTGTTTCAGTCTTGATTCGGTTTATACTGTGATGCTCTTTTCCTGGTCAGATTGTAGTCTGGATTTCATGTTATTTTGTACCCTAAGCAGCTAAACCATAACCCCTGTTGTTTATATTGTGGCATTCGTTGAAGGGGGAGGGGTGGTGGTCGGACGACGGACGACATGCACTTCACAGAAATGCATCTGCCGAACGTATTTGTTGACGGTAAAGGAGGTTGGAGCGCCCATTCGGGGTCTCCCGGAATTTCCAATGGCCACTGCGGCCGTGTGCAGTGGTGTTCCTCAAGGACCAGAATTTAGCTGGTTGGAACTTTGGCTCACTTTTATTTAGCCTGTCATCAATGTTCATGAAAGACCACAACTTGAGGTTTCTTAGGGACCTGATCCTAGTCCGTTAATGCTGTGGTGTGTTACAAAGATCACACTGTAGCCCACTACAATGTATACCAACGCCCCCAGCCCCTCGGTCAGACCTTGGTACATTATTAAACATTTTTTGTGTTCCAAAAGGACCACAGCATGACAATAATCTATGTAGCGATGTTCTTTATGGCAAAAACTGTTATTGACATGCTCCTCAAGGACCACAGCTTGACCCATTGCTATTGATGTTGTGGTGTCCCACAAGGATTCCATCTTGGCCTGCTATACTTTGTGCTGTACGTGCTGTCTCAATCCAATTTGGACTCAAGCATTTTTGTGTTGTTGCGGCACCACAGGTAATCGACTCGTTAGGCGTGATGATCTACAAGGCCCTGGACTATGGCCTGAAGGAGAATGAGGAGCGTGAGCTGAGCCCACCGCTGGAGCGCCTCATCGACCTGATGACCAATGTGCAGGGGGCGGAGAGCGATGACGCCTGCCCCGATGAGGGCTACGAGGCTACAGAGGAGGAGGAAGAAGAAGAGGAGCAGCAGCAGCTGTCTGTCTCGACTTCGGGCGGCAGCGTCAGCCAAATACGAAGCTACCGCGACATGATCTCGGTAGGACCGTAATACAGTTACCGCAAGTAAAAACTAGTACACTATGGATCACAATTTGAACCACTAATTTATGTTGCTTATGTTATTTATGGTTTTCTATAAGGAAACATTCCTTGGTTCATGCTGTGGACTTCCGCAATTATCAAACCATAGGCCACTGATGTGGTGTACTCCAAGGATCACTCCCTAGCCTACTGCAGTTTATGCTGCGGTCTTCCTTTTTGGTAGCTTATCTTAACATTCAGTCATAAGTACAATTGATGACTTAAAACTTAGTTCAAAGAGATTTTCTCCCTTGGTCCCATAAGTACCTTGCCGTGAACGCCCCACAGGTCCCACACCCCCACCTACCCTCATTCTTCCGTGCGACAGGTTCCGCTGATGGGGCCTGTCACGCTGTACATTCCTGCCGATCGCAGCCCCGTGAACAAACTTGGTATTTCCAGCGCAATAAGCTGAGGAAATATTCACAGGCTTACTTCCTCATAGTGGACCCTGTGTAGTGTGACACACGTACGCACGCAATGAATGAGTGTGCGCTGTATTCCATTGGCATGACTTGTTTCATCGGCTGATGTCCTTTTTGCAATAACACCGCACTGTCACCGCTTGTGTAATACTTAGCTCTTTTTTGTGGTGTTTGGGGTGTGTAACAAGTGTTCAACAAGAGCTAAAGTGTAGTTTTCTTATATTTTGTTTATCTATGGCAGGCAGACTTAGATTTTTCACCGGTGATTCCTCTTCTGTGATTTAAACTAATTACCCTTGTTGTTTGCAACTGTCACCATGACTGGAAATTTATTTATTTATTTTAGACCTAGATGAAGGTAATATACAATCGCTAAATGCTAATGTTAGCATAAAGATTGTAGCATGGCTAATGTGCTAATGGTAAAATGATCTTTTCTTCTTTGTAGTATTTTAAAGCACTGTTTAAAAAAAAAACTCATGCCTAAATGAGCAAAAGGCTTACTTTATCTTTAAATCTGTGTTCACATTTATTTTTAATAAATGTATTTAGTAAATTTGTTTTTTGTTAATATTGCATCATGTATTTTTGTATTGTAATGAGCATTGTCTCGTTAAAAAGAAATGTTTGTGGCAAGAATTTCACTGAGCTTGGAGCTCTTGTATGCTACATTTGTGCCAAAATTTATTAATTTAAAAATAATTCATTTAATATTTTATATTGCATCAGTTATTGTAATATTTTTGATTTATCAAAAGTAATGTAGCATATAATGGCTGCTTGCTTTGTTGAAAACATTTCTCGTTCATTGTACATTGCGTTACACACCAGTGCTAATCTACCGTGTGAATTGTTTTTGGGCCCCCTTCTCCTCCCCATCCAGGTGTGTTCCTCCCACCTCCCGAGCCCTTCAGACGCCCCGGACCACTACCAAGCCGTGTGCCGCGCCCTCTATGCCGAGTCCAGGGAACTGCACACTTTCCTGGAGAAGATCAAGAGCGCCAAGGAGGTAAAATGCCAAAAGGATGCCAAATGTTGCAACAAATCTTACGTTTTGTAAAATATGGTGAAGTGACCGATAGGGTAACCTTAATGCAACTATTTAAGGAGCTTAGCCGAGGGGCCACGCCAAGTGATGCCGAGTGGCCACAGTGTTTTTACATACCAGCGAATTAGGATGTTACTCAACCAGGCCCTCAGTGTGACTTGTTTTTGTACAGTAGCCACGCTGCCAGCAATTACCACTAATTTGTTTGACTTTTTGGCTATGCCGTTTCTCCATGGCAGAATCTGCGCAAAATGGAAGGCGAAACCCTTCAACAACCTGTTCGAGACTTGGATGAGCTACAAAATGCAGATTGGGTAAGGAGGAAACGCACCGGTATTTCTTAGGGTTCCAGCAAATGTATTCCTAACTGTTAACTTTTTTTTTTTTACCCTCCCCTTTTTCCCCCACCACCCAACATCCGTGACAGGCACGGTTTTGGGTCCAGGTGATGCGAGACCTGCGCCACGGCGTGAAGCTAAAGAAGGTGCAAGAGCGTCAATACAACCCGCTGCCCATCGAGTACCAGCTGACGCCCTATGAGATGCTCATGGACGACATCCGCTCGAAGCGCTACAAGCTTCGCAAAGTCATGGTAAGCAATTGATGCTAGCTTTATAGCCCACGTTGGCCGTTAAACATTTTGGGCTGTTAAACTTCCGTCAAATTGGGTGTCTGTTGACAAAACGGCAGCGTTTCGCAAGCCTAAATATTAGGAGGTGTACAAAAAAAAAAATAGATTCACTCAACTATAGAGATTTTATATGTCAAGATTCAATAAATCGATGTCAAAGTTCGGAATCGATTTTCAGGGTTTTTTTCAAAACTCAAAGGTGAAGCTACCACTTTGCTCCAGCAGATGGCAGCGCGGTGCCAATTTGTTGTGGCGAGTCAGCAGGCTGAAGCGTTCAGCAGTCACACCGTCATCTGAATGAGCCGTGCCTGAGCAAAATTAACAAGAAAATGGCAGATGGCGAAAATGCTGTGGCATTTTCTTGACCACTGATGGCACTGGCCAGGAATGTGTTGTAATATTATACCACTGGCATTTGGCTGAATGTGAATGTCAGAAAGAGTGATCTGGCTGCATTGATTGAAGTACACATTCAACGTAGGTATTGTTTATGGTTTATATTGTTTAGAATTGTTTTAAAGTCTTACGAGAAAACAATGTGTTGTTTGAGAAAAATACCCAAGAACCGTGATGTTGAAACGCAAATCGCAGTATAGTCAATAATCGTGATATAAATACAATCGTCACACAAAGTGTTGTGATTTGGAGCGAATCGGGAAGTAAGTGAATCGTCCCACCCCTACTAAAAATGCTTATTTTTGTCCATTTAGGTCTCATTTGGGGTTGTTCCCTCATGTTCAGACATGGGTTCAATTTTTTTTTTTCAAATCCTCAAAGTCGTCATTAAAATTTGGAATTTGCCCATATTGAAACGCTCTTGGCACATCTAATATTTTCTTTATCGCCACCTATTGGCCCAGTTTGAAAATTGCTGAATTATGTCAATTTTTTAAATGTGCGTCCCCCTCCCACCCAGAAAAGATGTTAATACACTTATTGTATAGTGTGATCAGCCTTACTTTCAATTTTTGTTGAACAATACAGAGAATAGGGACATGTATCAACAGAACACAAATGGATCATTTAAAGTTTTATAAAGAAACTTATAAATGGCGTAACTTTTCTACCTGCCATATTGCTTGACAGCATAAAATCGCCCAAAGACATCCTCTAATATTATAACATTTTTTTAAATGACTTAATATTTAGTTTAGGTTGATTTCTAACAAAGAGACATGGACATATTTTTAACCTCACTTCAGGTGAACGGCGACATTCCCCCGAGGCTGAAGAAGAGCGCCCACGAGGTCATCCTTGAGTTCATCAGATCGCGGCCTCCTCTAAATCCGGTGAGACTTTGTGAGGGCAACTCGATGACACACATGCTGAGCTATTCCCACATTCGCCAATCTTTGTCAGGTGTCGGCCCGCAAGCTGAAACCGACGCCGCCACGACCGCAGAGCCTCCACGAGCGCCTGCTGGAGGACATCAAGACGGAGAGGAAGCTCAGGCCCGTCTCTCCGGACATGACCCGAAGGACCCGTCTGGGTGAGGGCTCACACAAACGCGCGCACGCGCCAGCTTCTTCCCCATTAAGCCATTAGCTTAAATAACGCAGCCATCATAATTAACAAGCCTTCTTATGTAAACAAAGATCACATTGACTGAGTGCTCTTGTTTACTCAAGGCCCGGCCGAAGCTTCTCCACGGACAGTTTTTACGGGACTTCCTCAAGTGGCGACCACTCCTTTTAATAGATCCTGTGAACCGCAGTTTGAAAAATAAAAGCCTCAACTTTCCTTTTATTCTTCACTTATCGTCATTGAGCTAACTGCTGAATTCATGTTGCTAACCAACATGGAAGCACTTAGCAAGATTTCAATTCGGCACCGCCTCAGTGAGTTGAAAAAAATAAACCCCTCCTCATATGACTTATTCCCCCCCCCCTTTAAAAAAAAGGGTAATTAAATTGTCATAGTTTATATGAGGTAATTGAATTATGTTGCTCATTAGAACGACTGCCTTAAACCGAGTCATCCTGAAATATTCTTTTTAAAAATGCAATACAAAAGGTTTCGCCCCTCATCGATGCATTCCCGCTAAGTGCATTAGTCGAAGAAATGTGCAGACCGTACGCTTTGTTCCGCTCCGGTCTGTACACTTGTTGCATAATGCTTCGTATAGAAGAGATTATCATAAGCAGCATGCGTTGACCTGGCCTTCTTTTTCTCCAACTTGCAAACGAACGTGTCAGTCACCCGTCCTCTTATCACGTCTTACAGCTTTGACTCATCAGGTAAAAAGGTTTCCCCACACAGTCACCTGTCGCACCTTTTTGTGCTGCCCTTCTTAGACGCACTGTTTGTATGGTCTGTCTGTTCTGTTGTTTGTGTGTGTGTGTGTGTGTGTGTGTGTGTGTGTGTGTGTGTGTGTGTGTCTGTGTGTGTCTGTGTGTGTGATACATGTCGCACCATTTTCATAGCTGGACTCAGAGCGGTCGGCGTAATTACAGCTCTCGATTTTGCTTTATTAGCTTGAAGACATTTTCCGAACGCAAAATTTGGTCGACGTGTCTATCATGACTCCACCCACAAAAAAAAGTTTCAAGCAGCCATGTTGGGGGAAAACCCAAAAAGTTTTGATTGGTACGTGACAGCTCTCTATGATTAAAAATTCAGCCCCTGGAGGGCGTTTGATTGGGTAACTTGAAATGATGAGTCTTCCCAGAAGCCGTGACCAAGAAAACACAGGAAATCGTCCATTTTGTTTTGAAATGGTAATTGACTTTGTTGTTGAAGAATTTATCATTTGCTACTAAATTCAATTCATTCAGCTGAAGACGTATTTTGTGTGTTGGTGGCGCATGGCAGTGAAGTTTCATGACTTGTCGACAAAAAAAGCAAAATAATTCCTGCTGTGAAGTTTTTGAAAATTCATCCTTTGAAGCTTGTTTCAATTGGAACAATTACAGAGAGCAGATTGGGAGACTCACAAAGTTTCAAGAAGCCAGGGCCAAAATGACACAGTCTGCCATTTTGGTCACAGGCAGGCATTTTAGGTTAATTTCCTACTTCTGGAGATTTTGTCCAATTTTTTGACAAGACTTGAAGGCCACACTAAATTGCCATCAATCCCGCCTTTTCGTCATCACGAAGCGGCTAACTTTGACAACTCGTCACAGAAGGCAAAAGTCACGCGGCTTCCACGCCGTCCCCTGAGCTCAACCAAACGTCCCTCAAAGACCTGGCACGAGTTTTCTTGGTCATGTCACAACAGAGTCAGATCATGGTCAGCCTTGACCCCCCCCCC